ATGAAATCCCGTGTATGCAAATCTGCCAGTACAAGCGCTAGCCAATCAAACCGCGTGTATGCTGGGAGAGACTACGCAGGTCATTTCCTCATATTCCAAAAAATGGAGGGAACATTCATTATAGCGGTAGTGAATCACCCGGTGCTGTATGATCAGTCTCTGTTCATCTACCGGGATACAAACCGGAGGAGCGAGGCATGGAGGGAGGAGGCAGAGACAGTGGATGAAACTGGTAGGTTTTCGCCTGTTTGGGGATTTTATATCCAGTTTACTTCGTTTGAACTTTGCTATTGCTTTGTATGTCGGGGGCAGGAGATTCATGTGATTGGTTGTTGGTCGCGTTGCTCGCAAAAAATCCCCAAGCTTCAGATACGCCCACCTCCAAGCGTCAACGCACGCTGCTGTGTGGACGCTAACTGTGCAGGCTTCACAAGGTTTCTGTTAGCTTTTTGTAGCTGTCAATTGAGATGGGTAGCTGCACAGCACACTGGAAAACACCATGTTTAGAGGACCATTCCAATGTATCGATAGATCTTTTGATATTTAACCTAAATTCAAGTTTAACATTTAAAGAATCCTGCCGCTTACCCCTCCATTTCCAAGGGTGTCAGAGAACCAATATGCTGACCTCCACACATTATAGATATGAAGAGCTCATTCTAATGAAAACACAAATGTTTTTAGTTTCCAATAATGATATACTAACGAAAACATGGCCATGATCATTTTGTGCACAATAACTTATTTTCAAAAACATGTTTCTAATGCTTTTCTGGAAATAGGACAAGTGGTCTCTTATTTGTACATTTGCTAATAATTGATTGAATATCTTTAACACTACTTATTATGTTGATGTAGGTATCATTTTCTAAATCAAGTCCAGCAGAGTATCGAAGAAGATACACTTTATTAATCCCTTACAGGGACATTTCTTTCCCCACTCTGTTGTGTTTACACACATTACACACACAGGGGAGGATATACATGCACACACACAACCACATGTAAATTGGAGAGGTGGCAGAGCAGAGAGGCTGCCAGGTACCTTACGCCAAGGGAGCAGTTTCAAGGTTAGGTGCCTTGCTCAAGGGCACCTCAGCAGTGGCCTTGGAGGTGAACAGGCACCTCTCCATCTTTTTTTGTTGTTGGTCCGATAGGGACGTGAACCGGCGACCCTTCGGTTCCAAGACCAAGTCCCTACAGACTGAGCCACTGCCACCTCTATAGAAGAGATTCCAAGAATCCTTAAAGTGGCTACACAATTAATCTGTTCAAACTAGAAAAAACACCAACAATATCCTGCTCAATCTTTCCCTGTTTACCAACTCACTCTCTTTTTGTATGTATTGCCCCCTTTATATACTGGATATTTCCATCCCTACTCCTGGTACGTGTAGAAAGGATTCAACACTGTGCTCCATCAAAGCTGCAGTTTAATTTCCTTTTGTAAACATAGAAATTCAACAATGTCAAGTCGCCACTATAGTTGTATCTATTTGCAATGCACGAAGAGGCTAAAAACAATTACAACAACCATCATTTGTTTGGGCTACTGACCTAACAGTGTGCCCATCTTAAAGGCAGGGTAGGTAAGAAAGCAGAAACCAGCTCGAGTGCGCTATAATTTGAAAGTATGCAGCCGAAAAAAATCTGCCCCTTCCTTCAGACTTCCTTACAGAGCCCCTCCTCCAACACACACGAACGCACACATGACCAATGAGGGCACGAGATAACTTTGTGCACAGATGGAAGGCTGACAGGCAGGTAGGCCATCCAGTTACTTTAGCCGGGCCGGCTCAGATGATTGGTCGTGCTTTTTACAGTACTACGGCTTCCGGATGAAATGTTTTAATGTATTTATTGTCAAAGCATTTAATGTATTCATTGCTATCGGGATGTTAAGAGCATTCCATGGAATATAACAAAAAGTGTTTCTGAAGTGAATTACCTACCCCACCTTTAATCAAAGAATTGATTAGGTTAATATAGGAACTCGGGTTTGGTCAAATTTTGGGACAGACAGGATTCGGGATTCAGGACTGCTTAAAATATTTTGGGACGTCTGTTGCACCCCACTCCCTCTCCTTTGTTCTTCCCTCTTCATCCTCCTCTACCACCCATGTGTCAGAGAGAGTAGCAGAAATGGAGGGAGGCTTCTTCTGGAGAATGTGTTGAATAATAAATGCCTGTTAGAGCGGCGCCGAGGAGGCTGACGTGGATGGAGGAGAGACTATCGAGCTGGATATAGAGTTTTGATAGTGTGTGAATATGAAGCATTTATTATCATAATGTATGAGCAGGTAGGTTAGTTACAGACTGGAAATATGATATTCAATAAATCTATTACATTCATTCTTGAAAAAGGGAAAAGTGTAGCAGAAGATTGTCTTTTTAAGATGCCCTAAATGTGCACACAGACCACATCCATCAACTGATAACAGCCAGTGCATTGTGGTTAAACCTCATTTACACATGTGGGAGAGGTATTGACCCCACTCTAGTCTGACATATGAGGAAGCAGAGAGAGTTGGTGTATGTGTGTGTGTGTGTGTGTGTGTGTGTGTGTGTGTGTGTGTGTGTGTGTGTGTGTGTGTGTGTGTGTGTGTGTGTGTGTGTGTGTGTGTGTGTAGTCTTGCAGGTTCAGATCTGATGGGTCACTCCTGCCTTGTAGCCCATTGACCTCATCAGACAGTGGTGAATTATGGGTAGTGGCACTCAGGTCTCAGAGTTGTCTCTGCTTAGGGCACAGTGATAGTGACTCATCTCTCAATCTCACACACACACACACACACACACACACACACACACACACACACACACACACACACACACACACACACACACACACACACACCCACACCCACACACACACAGCCGCTGGACTGCGGGGAAGCTGACATTTAGAGGTGGAAGAGAAAGCGGTGAGTGTGAGCTCCAAACAAATTGAATTATTATCATGTTAGTTAAACTCAATTAACGAATTAATTGTCTATTAGCCGTTTGCTTACCTCCAAACCCTCAGTCTGTCAAGAATTCCAATCTTCCACTACCGCTATGCATTTAACAACAACATCATTTTTATTTAACATTCCTTCCTTGTGTAAGAAAAATGCAGTACATTTAGCAAACTGAATTTACAAAACTATAACTCCCAACTTTTTACCACAACCTTCCCCATAATGTAGCTAGCTGGGTATGAGCTCTATTGCTGCAGATAGTAAGCTAGTTAGCCAGAGATGCTAACAGCAATAGGAGTTTACATTGGAACTGATAAACTTACTGTTTAATACCCATTCTTTACACTTTTCCTAGCTTTTCTGTTTTTGTCAAAACAAGACACCAGCATCCAATTTCTTTTATACGATGTGTTTTTCCCTTATTACAGCGCCACACACATCACTTCAGCACATGGACAAATCCAAAGCTGTGGCAGCTGCTAAGCTATGATTGATACTTGCTGATCGGATAAGGGGCCTAGTGACAAGTCAGTTAATGCCTCATTCTGCGTTTTAGTCATGTTCAATTGATTTGGTAAGAGACATTCGAATAGGCTCCCGTTAGCTGTGGATGGTTGCTTTCTCATCTTTTATTTGTTTAATTTCTCAAGAGCAACCAAGATGGCTGCCACAAGCAACAGTGCTGCTGCAATGGACAGGAAAGAGGTTTCAAACACACACACAAACAATTTATAAGCAATTCAGCTGCATAAATACTATCTATGGCAAATAACACAGCCATCTGCTGAATATTTGATCAGACATCATGTTAATAATTCATCAGCAGGCCTTTACGTGACTCTCACTGCCTCTGCCCTTAATGGAAAGGAATGTTGGACAGTAGGGAAGCGTTTATTCTCAGGATATGAATCCCCAATGTTGCTTAAAGGCCCCTCTAAAGTAATTTAAATTATTTAATCCATAGAAAAGGTCACATGCCTGGAAAAGGTCCAATAGTCGTTTAAAGCTCACGTAATTATTTTTGACAGTGTGACCTATACCATCAACTTTGCAGTGGTGGGGATAATTTGTATCTGCAGCTCTCTGTGGCCAAATATATTGATCTCCTGTATCACTGTAAAACAATTACAAGGAAAATGACATTGTGAGGTGGCAGAATAACACTTAAAGTGACATGTTAAGAGTGTTGTGGTTCACCTCTCACCTTGCTTAAGAGACTCACTGAAGACAAACCACAAGGTATTTGACATAGATGCTATGTGTGTATTAACAACAAACAATTAAGTGAACTGGTGATTGGATATGTGCCATCACTGTTGAGCAAATACATAATAAACCTTTAGAAATCTGTATACAAATAATCCTTATATTAAAGGTGGGGTAGGTAAATTTGAGAAACCGGCTCGAGATACGCTTTTTGTTATATTCCATGGAATGCTCTTAACATCCCGATAGCAATGAATATCTTAAGTGCTTTGACAAAAAATCCATACAAAAATGTCATCTGTGGAAGCCGTGGTCTGTGCACAAATTTATCTCGTGCCCTCATTGGTCATGTGCGCGTTTTTGTGTGTTGGAGGAGGGGCTCTGTAAGGAAGTGGCAGATTTTTTCCGGCTGTGTATTTTCAAATTCTAGCGCTGGTTTCTCCAAAATTACCTACCCAATCTTTAATTTGGCTCAATTAATGCTTTACAATAAAAAAAAGTTTGTTGTGTTCTTTGACTAAATGGCATAGATATCAAAAACACTTTTAGTAAATAAGAAAATAAATGAATCACCCATTGACACACTTTTATTTAATTTATTGTAAGAGGGGTAAAACAACATGGAAAAATAAAGCGATACAAAAACTGAATTAAACCAGTACAACTTCAGTATAAAGTCCGAAGTAAGTATGATGTACCATGACGTAAAGAACATAGGGATATACTGGGCCCATTGTGGCGATAATCCTCGTGTCATGGTGTTCACGAGGGCGGACTGGAACAACGACGTCCGGTCAGTTTGGTGTCTCCTCGGTCGAGGGCAGAACAGGAAACAAACCGGGTGAATAATACACCGTGTCGGCGGTCACATGTCGTGCAGCGGGCTCCTGAATGATTTAAAGCTTTTTACATCATCGGCCTCACCCTCCCTCCCCTCCGCCTCCCTCCCTCGCGCTGATGCACCGCGCAGCCCGGAGATGCTGATGCTGGTGACCGACTGCAGCATCCGACATGGGCATCCTTTAATCCCGCCACAGTGAGTGTTTTTCCTTCACTTTTCTCTATCCCATGGTTATCTCAAACTACATCATATCACTGTCAGTGTCTCCCTCTCACTTCTCCTCCTCCCCCTTTGTGTTGTCTACATTTGTGCAGTTTTTTGTGTGTGTGTGACATGGCGCATAACGCAGTGTCCTCGTAGAGGTTTAGTGAGTCCGCGGAGTTGACGGAAATGTCGGTCTCTTCCTGTATGCGCAGATCACCTTAGCGATGGGCGTCTTTGCGTGAGAAAAGAGAAAGGAAAGGGAGAGTTTAGGGCGGGTGTTGTCGCTTCTCCCAGCAGACAAGAGCTGCAGCAGGCTGCGTTTGGAGGGTCGACCAGAGTACAGGAAGAGACAGAGGGGCGGCTGGGACCCACAGACACTGGTGGGACGTTTAATAAAGTGTTTCTGCAGGTGAGAGCATGAGCAGTTATTGCTTTTTTGGTGTATGTTTAGGTGTGTCCGAGGGAGAGGAGAGGAACAAAGATGGTGAAAGTTGTTGTTGGACTGGAGATGAGAGAGATAGACGTTCAAGGCTCTAGAAGTGGAGAGGTATAGAGTTATGTTGCCTTGTCTGTCCTAATAATACTATACTATATAAAGTAATATAGTATAAATTATCATAGGACAAACAGTCTATACTTAACATTAACGTGTTTTTGCAAAGGCTGAATGGAGGAAATCCCATCTATCCATCTATCCATCTATCCATCTATATCTATCTTCAAATTCAAATAGCTTTATTGGCATGACGACATACAGTGTGGCAGAATCAGCTGCAACTACAACATGAATCTATATGAACACATTTGGAAAATATTATTGGGTCTATATATACATTTTGAACAATAGTAGATTCATGTGTTTTTCTTTACACAGAAAACAATAGACCTTTATTTAGCTTGAATAAACACACTGTCTCATCTATCTATCTATCTATCTATCTATCTATCTATCTATCTATCTATCTATCTATCTATCTATCTATCTATCTATCTATCTATCTATATATATATATATATCTATCTATCTATCTATCTATATATCTATATATATATATCTATATATCTATCTATCTATCTATCTATCTATCTATCTATCTATCTATCCATCCATCTATCTATCTATCTATCTATCTATCTATCTATCTATCTATCCATCCATCTATCTATCTATCTATCCATCCATCCATCCATCCATCCATCCATCCATCCATCCATCCATCCATCCATCTATCTATCTATCTATCTATCTATCTATCTATCTATCCATCCATCCATCCATCCATCCATCCATCTATCTATCTATCTATCTATCTATCTATCTATCTATCTATCTATCTATCTATCTATCTATCTATCTATCTATCTATCTATCTATCTATCTATCTATATATATCTATCTATCTATCTATCTATCTATCTATCTATCTATCTATCTATCTATCTATCTATCTATCTATCTATCTATCTATCTATCTATCTATCTATCTATCTATCTATCTATCTATCACAAAAACAGTGTTTTAGTATACTGTGCTTCTGTACGCATCTGTGTGTGTTTGCGTACGTGAGAACAAGAGCACTCAGACACTGAAAGCCTCAAGCTGTGGAACTGGGCTAATCCCTAATGACATGACCAGCTCTCCCTTCCTCTATCTGCCATAAGGTCTCTCTTTTCCCCCCCTTATTAATTCGTTTTTGTGAGAACGTGCTGTCCATGGTGCTGAAAACAGTCATCAGCACAACGCTTGCTAATATGCTCGAGCTTGATGGCTGTCACCGCTCAACAGGTGCCTATTACTAACCTAGAGAGTGCATAGAAATCAATCAAAACATTTTTTGTTGTTGAACGCATTCACTTTAAATTGGAGGTTGCGAATTCATGCTAGAGTTGTGGAGGTTTTTTAAGGAATTATATTGGAAAATTATTGGCTATTAAGGTCTTTGGCTGACAAATGCTGGGTCAATATTTGTAATGGTATAGGTAATATTAAAAGAAAAATATCTATGGACATGCACACTGCTTGAGTTTTGTAAATAGGCCTACACAAGGGTGGTATTTCTAAAGCTAAATCCTGTGATATTGCACTGCTCAGCAAATCCATAAGCTGTACATACATTATAATGAAGAGTTAAACTGGGCCCACTGCAGTTCTAGCCAGATCAAGGAGGCCAACCAGGAAGTAGTAAAACATGGTAATGATGACCTGGAGGCTGAAAACAACAACAATAAAAAGAACAGAAGATTATGTAACTGACCAATTTAGCAATTATAGTTTGTCTACCAGCATAACACACACACACACACACACACACACACACACACACACACACACACACACACACACACACACACACACACACACACACCACACACACACACACACACACACACACACACACACACACACACACACACACACACACACACACACACACACAGCCTGTAGACCTCCAGGTCTCACATCCGAGGACTGTCACATTAAGGGCATCACCATGTGAGGACCCTGGGGTGCGTTGACTTGCTCCTTGCTCAAGGGCACTTCAGCAGTAACAGTGGGCAGTGGGCACACATCATTTTCAAAATAACATTAAAGTAAGGTTTTTTGTTTACTATATACTTTCCCTTTTGAGAGTTGTTATTTTGGTTACTCAGTGTCTGCTGGAGTTTCTGAATGATCTACAAAGGACCCATTATTTGTATTATTATTATTATTTTGTTCTGCATTGCCCTCCTCGGTATAGAGAGTCAAGAAATAATAGGCAGCAAGGGAGGAAGCCAAGGTGCAGCAAAGGTTCCCAGCTATCTTTACCTCTAGCCCAGCGGTGTCCAATCTACGGCCCTGGGGCCAACTGTGGCACATTTTAAAAGGTCCACACCTGAAACTTGTGCTTCAGTAATAATGTTCTTCTTGAATATATTGTAAAATATATTACACAGTATTCATATTGTGCAATTCTTCAATAAATTAGGTCATTTCAAGTTATTTGCATAACAATCTTTAATAAATATCCCCGTCCTATTTCCCTCCTTAATACAGGGCTGTGAAGGGAGACTGAGAAGCAATCTGAGACTTCTGTTTTAAGGGATGGGCTGCCAAAAAGAAAATAATGAAACCCTGTAAATGGAAGCTGTGATGTAGGCTGTAGGGCATTTGATTGGTTTTGCTAAGTTATAACTTAACTGAGGTATTTTACCTCACATCTAGTGAGTGACCTAGCCCTTATGTATGTGGCCCACTCTAAGAATACAATCTTGAGTATTGAGGCTTTTTTTTCATGCAGAAAATAAAATATTTTACTTTCTCTAGTAACCATAACAGAATGATGACACATGTTCACGTTTAGGGTGAAGGGAGAAAGTAGAAACAAAGCACCCAAAGTGACTTTCGGTTTCTCAGCAATCGTGTTTCTGTCCACCTCACGAATGTAAATCCAATATTCATCCTCCTTTAGCTCTGTTTTCAGTCTCTTCCAACTCCTGAGGGAAATATGTGCCTCTTTAGCAGTTAAGTACTGCACAATGTTCACCAGTTAGTCAGTCTGTCTGTTTGGTGCTGAGCAGGTAGCATGTAGATGCCTGCCATGGTCCAAAAACAATGCTGTGATAGGAGTGAACCAAAATATTAAAGCTGAACAATATTCTAAAATATGCCATTAAGCCTTTTAACATTTCTGATAATAATTTTCCAAAGGTAATTTCAATTATTACTCTTTTTTATAATGGCACATTGTCTTTTAACCATTATTTTATACATCCTTACTATACAAATATTGTCTGTTCAAATTAAGCCTAAGCCAAAACATATGGTCACTGCAGGGTTTATGAAATGCTGCTGGATTCTCATTCATCCTTATTAGAGATAATGGATGCTGAATGAATGTGATATGTGTGTTTGTATATATAGTAGGGCTGTCAAGTTAACGCGTTAATAAAAAAAATTAACGCCACTAATTATTTTAACGCGATTAACGCATGTGTATTTTTTGTCCTCGGCCGCCCCGTAGTTTCAGAGCGCATCGAGTTTAAAATACCATCTACAAGCTGATGCTGACAGCCCCGCTCCTGCCGCCCGCTTGTGGCAGACCACACTTCCACGCTCACCGGCAGGCACCGACTGGCTATTGGGAGGACCGGGAGGGTGTGTGTATGTGTGTGGCCCGAGCGAGAGAGAGACCTTACGTGCATTGTTGTTGTTAGCATCTGGTGCTAGCTAGCTGTGCTAATGGATAGAAGGAGCTGTTTAAATGAAAACAGAGGAGCGACATTTCGCCACAACTGCGCCGAGCACTTGACTTTATGCAGGAAGCCAGACAGTGGGACATTGTACGAAAAGTCAGCACACTCAGCACGGATAGTGCGCAACATGATTGCAGCGTCCAGGTAGGTTATTGTATGAGAGAGGTTCCAGGTTGAATTGAGGCGAATATTTGTAATGTTCAGAGGTTGTTGTGTTTAATATTCATCAGAATATTTGTCATTGTTCAAATGATAATAAACATTAGCATAAAGCATATTTGTCCACTCATATGTTGATAACAGTATTAAAAACTTAAAAAATATTCCTCTAAGGTGCATTTAGAACAGATAAAAAATGTGCGATTAATTTGCGATTAATCGCGATTAACTATTTTAATCGACTGACAGCCCTAATATATAGATACAAGTCAGATACTCAAAATCATAGAGGCTTAAATGTATGTTTATTTGCCTCCTTTAAAGAATTTATCATAAAAGATTGTCATTTATAACAGAACATACTTAATATAGTTGTGTGCTCAGTTCCCTCTTATGGAAAACACACACACACACATGACCTTTAAGCCTACATTTATGAATGGCCCCCACCACCCTTTTCTCCATCAGATACTGCTGCTTAGCCCTGACGTCAGTGAACCTGCCTGCGCATAAAGGCTATTATAATCAGGACCTCACACACACTCACACACATTGCATCCCTTCCTTTGTCTCAGTCAGCAGCACGCACGCACACACACACCCCTAGATGATTGGCTCAACAGGCTCTAAAAAGAGAGAAAAGAGTACAACAGACGGGGAAAGCAGACAGTGTGTGGGAGGTGGGCGGCCTTGATCATTATCATTATCATGTAATCCGATCACTGTTATAAATTTGGGACTGTGGCTTCTTTCCTATTGGCGTATCAGTAGAGTTGCTTTTTACCTCCATCTCTTGTTCTTCTGAGTGGATTCTGGACACGATGCTCCAATCTTCCCTTTGTTATATTGATAGGATAAGGAGGATTAACAAGGAACATGTTGATTCTCTTACCTTCAATGGAAAGTGAGTTTGTATAGGCTCCCGTCATTTAAAAAAAACATAACATTACGGCCCGTCCACACTACAGCTTCAAAAAAAGCTTGGAGCTGGGCGCGTCTGAAGCTCCACCAAC